AGGTTATAAGAGCTAGACCTGGTGGTTTCTTCAAAAGTAAAGGAATAATATTTGTTGATCAACATGGCAGCCATATATATGATAATGTTATAAAAGCATTAAATTTAGAAAGATTAGAGGTTTTAAAAATACTAAGTGGAATGACTTGTATACTACAACCTCCAGATGTTTCTGTAAATAAACCATTTAAGGATCAAATAAAAAAAATTGAGAAAACTGGATAGCTTATGGTAAGAAAGAATTTACCAAAAGAGGCAATTGTAAAAGGGTATCTTATGAGTTAATTAGTAATTGGATATCAGAAGTATGGAATAATATAGATCCTAATATTTTAGTAAAATCATTCGAAGTAACAGGTCTTGTACTAAATTTTGATAGCTCTGAAAATTATAAAATGTCTAGCCATTTGCAGTCTATTATTTCTAATCCTGATGATGCAACTATAGAAGAGTTAAGTGAAGATGATATACTAGAAGAAAGTTTTCAAAATATGATAGAGATTGATAAAGATGAAATAATTGAGATTGATGAAAATGAAGTAACAGAAATTAATGAGGATGAAATAATAGAAATCGATGAAGATGAAATAACAGAGATTGATGATGAAGTAACAGAGATTGATGAAGAAGTAATAGAGATTGATGAAAATGAAGTAATAAAGATTGACGAAGATATAGAGATTGATGAAAATGAAGTAATAGAGATTTATGAAGTTAATACATCAGATAATAATGAAATAATAAAAATTGTTGCGAACAAAGAAATATTAAAAATAACAGAAATTATCTCAGACAAAGATATATTAGAAGTAACAGAAATTATCACAGATGACAATAATATATTAGCTTTAGAAGCAATAAAAATAGATTGACAATTTTAATAATATAATACTGTAATATATATGGTGCAGAAAATCTAAAAACCTCAATCACTTTATATAGAACAAAAACAATCTATTAAGTACATATTATTCTTGGTGTATTATTTTATATGCCATCACTCTATTGAGATTAATAATTTAAGAAATTTATTCTCAATAAGCTACTAGTTTATGCATCATCTTAACATGAAGATTGAGGTTTTTAAATTTCCTGCACCGTACGTATGTACGTATATATCAAATTGTTTATTAATTGAAATGGTAAAAGATCATCTTATTGTATATCAAAAAAATATCAAATGTACATACATATGTATGACTTGAATCTTAATTATATATACTGTATTCTCAAGTTTGTTATATATGCACAGGTTATAAAATTTTAAACCATTGAAATAATGATTAAAATTTGAAAGAATATAAGTTTTAGTTAGCCGAATTGCAATATTTTTTTTGAATATTTTTAAAAATTTATTTATTTATAATTTTTTTTAATTAGTAGAATAAAACACTCACAAATTAACAGTTGCAAAAGATCTGCAATTGAAAAATCAGAAAGAACAATAAAAATAAATTTAGAAATAATAAAAAAAACAATTAAAATATTCATAAATATATCAAAATTTTACCATTAAAAATGGCCAACAGAAAGATCTTTATTACTTAGGTTTTTAGGAAACTATCACATATAGTTATCAATTTATACTAATTGCCAATTAAAATTTGATTGACTAATTTTATTTACATAATCTGATATTTGAAGTACAAACTAACATGTAAAACATTATGATAAAGGGTAGGTTATAATAAATGTTAAAGTTAAAAATTATTTACCCTGGTGTTTGAATATTCTATCCTGATATATTGATTAAAAATAGTTTAGTGTATAATCTGAAAAAAAATAATGTTTACTTTTAATACTTTATATTTTTAGATTGGATGATTCTAAAGCTCATCAAAGTAAAATTTACTGGGTATATTACTTCTCAAGAATAGCTTAGGTAATTGATATTTATACTAAATAAAAATAGTCAGTATCCTAAAAAACTTTAACATCTATTTTTATTTAAGCATTAAATCCTAACCCCAGAGTTCAATTTTAATTTAATTTCAATATTGTGGTGAATTAAAATAAATTCTTTTGGATTTATTATTAAAACATAGTTTTTATTTTATCTAATATTAGTAATGCTTGACGAAATTGATTTTATTAGTAGATGAAATTAAACCTGATGAAATGACGAAACTCTTAACGAAAATATTTTGATCTATAATTATTAGCGACGAAATTAATTTTGAATTAGAATATTATTCTAAGGAGTATGCTGTCTAAGTTTATAAAAAAATTTCTTGGTATTTATATGAAATTTTTGGCACAATCGCAAAATAATGAAACTATTTGTCAATTCAAAAATAATTTCATCAAGTATCTATATCTAATATCATTATTTTAATTATTAAATAATATTGATTATTTTATATATTGTATTTAGAATAATATTGAAAAAAAGTTTTGGAAAGAACTGCTTGAATTACAATTAGATCAGCTTGTTATTTGGCAAGATTGACTAATTTAACTACAAAAAGATAAATATGCAGCCTTAATAAATTCTGCAAGATTTCATATATAATTATATTGACATATAAATATGTATTATAGCTGCTACTAAGAACGAGCTTTTGACAGTAATTCTTTTTTTTTTTTTTTTTTTTAAGGTAAGGTTTTGCCTTTATCTTTATTTAGTAATTTGTATTAAGAATCCACTAGAGTTTCTCTGGTCTATAAGACTAATAATTACAAATATTTTACAAGAATGAGACTCAGACTATAGATATTTAACTATCTAATTTATCTGCAACCTAAACC